GAAACCTCCCCCAGCTGCAGGAAGCCCAGCATCCTCCCCTGCTTCCTGCCCCATCACTCCTCATCTGCAGGGGAAGGGGTCACTATAAGGGGAGCTGCTCCCGCATCCGCCCAACCCCCGTGCATTTGGACTGCCCATACCCAGACACCCCCGCCAAGCCTCACCCTGTACACCCAGAACCCCCCAAGCCCTCCATACCCGAACCCCACCCCACTGAACCTCAACCCCTGCATCTGCAGCCCCCTTCACCCAGACTCCATGCCTCCGGACTCCCACCCCTGCACTGACCACCCCTCACTGAGCTCCCTGCACTCAAACCCCCACCCTGAAGAGCCCCACTGCCCTGCACCACCCTGAGCCCCCAGGTCCAGACTCCCATGCCACTGACCCCAAACTAGCTGCACCAAGACCCCCATCCTACTAAGCTCCACTCCCCCAGCACCCAGGCCCCCATGCTGAGTGCCCCATACCCACACCGCTGAGCCCCAGCCACCTTCACCTGGAAGCCCCTGCAAAATCCCATTGCCTCCGCACTTGGAACCCGCCCCCCAACGAGCCTCTGTGCATCCAGATCCCACCACACCGAGACCCCTCACTGAGCTGCCTGCACCCAGATTGTCCCACACAGAATCCTCTCATCCCACACCTGGATCCCCCCACACCGAGTCCCTCCACACTTGAATCCTGCCTGGGAGAACCTGCCTGCCCCACACCTGGAGCGCCTGGTGCAGAGCCCCAGGGTGCTCCTGGGGCACGCCCAGGCCTTGAGCTGTGTCAAGGTCAGGTGCAGCCTCACCACTGAGTCCGTGTCCTGGGGATGGGGGAGCTGCAGGGTGATCACCCATCTTCGTGGAACCAGTGGCTTGTGCTCCCCACTGCCAGGCTGGAGCCTCTGCATTTATTTATTGACAAATAAAACTTGCAGAATTTTAAAATATTGTGCGTAGACTTTTTAATTTTTTGGCGCAGAATGCCCTCAGGAGTAAGTACCTGAGATCATACTGAGTTTTAGCTCCACCAGTAACAACAGAGAACCATAAGGACTGGACTGGTAGTGCAGGTCTTCCAAAGTTATCTATCATCTTAGGCCTTCTCTACACGCAAAAGTTGTACGGCTTTAACTATACCAGTATACAACCCCATTAGCGTCAACACAGCTATACCGGCGCAGCTTATTCCAGCTATAGAGGTTTAACTGAATCCTCTAAGGGTTGTACCAGTACAAGTATTTTGATTTAAGGGAAAAAAAAACAAAACAAACAAACAAACAAAAAACCACACCCCTAACTGAAATAATTATGCAGGTACAATGTGTCTGTGCAGACCAGGCTTTCAGCAACCTTTCTGAATTCTCTCAAGCGTAGCTTTCCACCTGCTTCAGAAACAATGGGACAATTCAACACAGATTTACACCCTGTGAAATCTCACTCAAGTCAGTGGAACTGCACAGGGTATGTCACCAATGAATTCGGACCATTCTTTAGAAAGTTTACTGAGATAAAATTAAAGCTTTGAATGTAAAAGATTGTGATAAAAGAATAAAAGTGTTATTTGTCTAACAGATGGCCTATGTTTCATGATAAAAATGTTTGCATTTAATGTATAAAGATTACCTATTAATAAGGAAGCAGGTATATTTTCAAAGGGACGTTTCCATCACAAATAAAGCTAGTACTTTGTAATTCACTCTGTGATGATATATATTACAATTAGGTTTGCTCAGTGGGTGAACCCAAAGTAATTTCAACGCCAAGACTTTATGTCTAAATCCTGTTGCTAACAACCCTACTGAGCTACTAAATATACTGTATTACGTGCAACATCATCAACATCTTGCTTTTCTTCAGAATCACCCTGATACAGTCAACTTATTTCTTTCTTTACAAAGGTGCAGGAAAGACTTTTGAGTCTTGTAGAAGCAAACTTTTTGATTTATTCCTGGGCTATTACGCATACTAATGTGTGTGTGGTGCAAGGAGAAGGAAAGTAAAACTAAAAAGTAGACACTCTTAATTAAATGAATCAAATATATTTTTAATAATTAAAATTTAAAGTTTCTGAACTATTAACTCCTATATATTTTATATAGTAAGTTATATATAAGTAAGGCTGGATCGTTTTTCACCCGTGTGTCCAGGGCTCAACTGTGGCATGAGATTCAAAATGATGTGAAGTGTGTTGACACAACTCTTTCCCCAACGGATGAAAGTCAACATGACAAAACTACCTTCCTTAATGTGTGCTATCCTTAGGAGAGGGCAAGGGCTGGAGTTGGTGTGAAAATCAGAGCTACATCTTATTCATACAAAGGGCAGAAATGAGGTGGTGGGGGAAGCACTATCGCTTCCCAGCTGTATTTGTGGCTTCTGGATTCAAAATAAAAGGGAGTGTGTGTGGGGGAAGGCAGGGAATGAACTAAATAAATGTAAGTTTCCATGAGGTTACTCCCTCCAGAAGCTCCAAAACATGTGTTTATCAATGGAAAAAAATCCCAGTATTTCTATTGACTTGTGTATTTTCCTCCTATCTTATTGGTATTTTGGATTTTTGGGGTAGGCAAGGAGGAGGGCAAAGTAACGGCCAGATTGTGCCTGGCCATTCACAGGGCCAAGGACTAGAAAACATTCCATTTCTTTGCGCACAATGCCCACACCCTTCAAAACTGAGGCTGATGGCACTTCTTACACTACTATACATATATAAACAGAAACACATGGACTCTTCCCACATAACCTCACAGGTGCAAGACACCTGAAAGGGGGCCATCACCCCAGTCTCCTCCTACATAGGGAAGTAGATGTGGCAGGTATGCAAGACAGTGAATGCTCATCCTGTGCAACAAGGGACTCTGGGAAGCATTATATGTTGGTGCTCCCTATTAGTGATGAGGCTAAAGACTGTAATTTAGTTTTAAAGTAGTGGTGAACTTCTTCATACTCGGTAAGATGTGCAGGTGGTGACTGCACTAGGCAATTACAAAATTACTGTACTGCATACATTTCCCAAGTAGCTTCTGAATGGTGCTAGGAGGAAGTACAGTATCATACAGTAAATACTAGATTTATACTAATAAGCTGACTAAGCAGAATTGAGTATGCTTAAAAAATAAGTGCGAAATCTTGCTGTTTAGCAGAAAACTTCATTTGCACTTTAACATTCATAGAATCATAGGACTGGAAGGGACCTCGAGAAGTCATCTAGTCCAGTCCCCTGCACTCATGGCAGGACTAAGTATTATCTAGACCATCCCTGACAGGTGTTTGTCTTACCTGCTCTTAATAACCCTCAATGATGGAGATTCCACAACCTCCCTTGGCAATTTATTCCAGTGCTTAACCACCCTGACAGTTAGGATGTTTTTCCTGATGTCCAACCTAAACCTCCCTTGCAGCAATTTAAGCCCATTGCTTCTTGTCCTATCCTCAGTGGTTAAAAAGAACAATGTTTCTCCCTCCTCCTTGTAACAACCTTTTATGTACACCTCTACCCGATATAATGCGACCCGATATAACATGAATTCTGATATAACGCGGTAAAGCAGTGCTCCGGGGGGGGCGGGGCTGCGCACTCCGGCGGATCAAAGCAAGTTTATAACACGGTAAGATTTTTTGGCTCCCGAGGACAGCGTTATATCGAGGTAGAGGTGTACCTGAAAACTATCATCATGTCTCCTCTCAGTCTTCTCTTTTCCAGACTAAGCAAACCCAAATTTTTCAATCTTCCTTCATAGGTCATGTTTTCTAGACCTTTAATCATTTTTGTTGCTCTTCTCAGGACTTTCTCCAATTTGTCCACATCTTTCCTGAAATGTGGCGCCCAGAACTGGACACAATACTCCAGTTGAGGCCTAATCAGTGTGGAGCAGAGTGGAAGAATTACTTCTCATGTCTTGCTTACAACACTGCTGCTAATACATCCCAGAATGATGTTTGCTTTTTTTTGCAACAGTGTTACACTGTTGACTCATATTTGGCTTGTGGTCCACTATGACCCCGAGATCCCTTTCCACAGTACTCCTTCCTAGGCAGTCATTCCCCACTTTGTATGTGTGCAACTGATTGTTCCTTCCTAAGTGGAGTACTTTGCATTTGTCCTTATTGAATTTCATCCTATTTACTTCAAACCATTTCTGAACATTCATGATCTATTAATCAAAAACATGAGAAAAATGGAAGAAAGTATAATCTTGCTTAGTGTAACTTGGGTGAAAGTTGGATTCTTTGCATTTTAAATTATAAAGTGGAATGCGACTCAAAAAATAACTCTGTAAAGATGGCACTGTGGATCCATAACTGTCATGAACTCCAGATCAGTGATACTCAGACCTCAGTGATTCATGAGCCAAATTAGCGATCAACATTACCCAAAAGAGCCACAGAAGCATGAATTCATTGTTTCATTTACTATCTATCTACCTACCATTCTCACAGCAAAATGACTGACCAAGTATTCTACAATTGGTAATAACACAGTAAAAGCATCCTGACTGGTTGGTAACTAAATCACAGAGTGTTTTAATATCATGTGCTGCAAAGATGCATTAAAGAGCCACTTGAGCTCCCAAGCCTAAGTTTGAGTATCACTGCTCCAGACCATATGGGTTCATTTTACAAGTAAAAATGAAGATTTTTCTAACTGCTGGTGCTGCAAACTCATTTTGGGATTAGAAAAATATTCAGCTTGTGTTCTATGTGTAATAAAGAAAGATTTTCCAGCTGAAATTTGGCTCAATACCTATCAATAGAATTGATAGCCAAAATAGCATCCACCTGACTCGCTCTGAGATGTGTTGTCTCTGTTAGGGTAACAGGAATAAAAGCTTATTTTAGTTATTAAACTAAATAGACATAACTGACTATATAGACATGACAGAAAGGAAGCAGATCTGTGAAGTAAGAGTGACATTTTCACATTGTTACTTTGCAGAGTAAACTCACATCCAATATATTTTTACAATCAGTATAGGTCTATTTAATTCTCACATATCAAGAATGCAACATTTAGCATAAACACATGCAACAGAAATTTCTGAAAAGGCAAATTCCTCTTGAAACGATTTAGAGAGATTTCTTTATGCCTTTTCTTTCGAGCAATAGGTATGCTATAAATATTGTCTGTGAACTAAAAACAATCACTTGTATCCAGATTCTTCAGTCCCTGCATTGTCATCTCTGAGACTAAACCTCTAGAGTACATCTCCACATGACACATTTACCTAAAGTGGCTGCACATGTCTAACGTAGGCTTTTGTTTAGTGATCATGGTCGTTTTGAGTTTGTTTAAATACTGAATCCTAATGCTTACCCACTAATCCCAGGACGTTTTGAAATGCTCTCAAGCTTTTAGAGGGAAAAACTGTTGCATGGACTTTGCAGATGAAACTGACCACAGTTCACTGGAACCAGCCAGTTCAGATAAATAAAATGAAAGCAGACATTTCTTGTGAATATCTTGAAAGCTTTTCCATTAGACCGTATCAGGGGTATACAATCTTCCCTACCTTCCGATTTCCTCTTTCTTTAAATACTGTGTATATATAAATTTATCTGCTTCATTTGATATCAAGCAAAGATCTTTGGGGGAAAGCTATATCTTCCAGTACTTTGTTTTATACTGCATTATATCACAGATATTACTATAATATCAAATGTAAACTCTAAACATTCCTAAAAGGAGTGTCTGCAAACCACCACCACTGAACTTACAAAACTAATTAGCAAGCGAATAAAGCATTTGGTCTGTGCATCATTTTAAAGTTGTTCCCGCTCCATGCCAGGCTTTGGTGCAGTATTCAGTAATATTTGGGTAAGCCTCTTCACTGGATGTCAAAGGGCAGTCTAGGAAAGCACAGTATATAATATGGCAAATGAGAATATATTGAACAGATAGATAGAAATGCCTCAGGTTAGATTTTCATTAAGGGCTCAGATTGGACATTAATTTTTGATATCATGATCATTTGGACTGTGTTAATCTGGATGTTCTCTGGACAGGTAGCTCTACTACCTTAATAGCCTATATTTTATACATAAAGAAAACCTATGTATTACACACACACCTTGCTAAGGAAATGAAGGAAAATTTTGTGCCATGGTAATACAAACTATTAAGCAGTAATCACATCCTGCTAAATTTGAGACATCACTAATGGTAATAGTAACCTTGGCCAGCAGCAAAGCAGGGAGTTCACAGACACAAAAGTATCCAGGGTACTATGAAAATGCACTGGGAAGTTTTCTCAATATCATTCTCCAGCACATAACACCCATATGTGACAAGAAAGTGATGAGTCACGGTATCTGTGCCTAAGAAGAGGGGTGCAAGCGAAGTCTGACACAGTTGCTACCTTTTTAAAAAACAAAACACCTTAGGTCCTCAAATCAGAGAGAGGCTACTTGTTTGTCATGTCTCCTTGAATTGGAAAATGAAACAGGTGGATTATTATGATGTGTAGCCCTTAAATCGCATTGCTCACTCCTTCATTCTAGCCCATGTTCTTATCACCTCTGATCCCCCAGGTTATTCGTACATTAGGCGCTTCCATCATATCACCTTTCAGCCAAGCTGGGGAGATGTGCAATTAGCTTCTTTTCAAGTTGTTGCTTACGCTACCCCATTGTTTGGCTCTAGGAATAACACAGCCACCACCCATCCCTGGGGCCAGATCATGCCCTGTTGATACTTGCACATGCGGAAGAGGCCCTCCTTATCTCCCTCTGTCAAAGAGGCAAGTGAAAGTGGTTTCAAACATCTTTTGACCCAGACCCCACAGAAAGCTCTTTGTGGGGGTCCATGGTGACCATCAGTCTGCTGTTGACAAGCATCATCCCCCTCTAGACCTCATGGAACCTTCAGGAGAGTTAATCCAGCCTAAAGCTTTTCTGTGGAGCCACTCCATGCTATGGAATTCCTCTTCAGGAGCAGGAGCAGGAGCAGCCTGAGAAACAGCACTACCAGGGAGCCGGGTTAGGAGCTAAGGAGCAGATATATAGGACCTCCATCTGGATGTTCCTGGCCTCCACTAAGCCATGGTTCTGAAGGCTGAACTCCCTTTACTTTCCAGAAGTGAATCAATACTCTCTCTCCAGATAGAGGAAGTGGGAGGAAATTCTTCAAGGGAACCCTCAAGTTTTCCTTCCCTCTCTGCACTCCTGTCTCCACAGGAGGAGGTAATTGGGCTATTGTTTAGAAACCAAAGACCATCACTTCTGTAACAAACGTGGTGCCCATTCTGGATTCCACTGAAGCCAATGGAAGTTTTCTTGCTTTCACTGGAATAAGATTAAGAATATTCTCTAGTCTCCACTATTTTATGGCCCAATTCTGAAGCCTTTTTCTCAGGACTGGGCCCTTAGAAAGCAGAAGTAAGACAGCTCCTATTCTGAGCCTGTGGCTTTGTAGAAAAGACTGCCCGCTACTGCATCTTTTGCTTGGCTACATTTTAAAGCAACTGTAAAACTGCAATTAGGTTTGCAAACATTTATAGCTCATTATTAATACTATGTGTAGCAGATGACCAAAGACACACATTTTACTTGTGAACAAAATAGTCATTTCACTGAATGTAAAGAAACTGCCTGAAAAATTCATAAGATCTGTTTCACAAATTACCAATTCAACCATAAGAGTGTATAGTAAAAATGACAAAAGATTTGTTCTTACAGTTGATAAAAAATTTATACCAAGGCATTCAAGTAAAGTTACTTTCTGTGTTCTGATTTAATGAATCATTTGAGCAGTATCTGGCTGGGTGACACAGATGTAGGGCTCGCTGAAGCCTACTCTAATGCCTACTGGTATAGCCTTCCTTGGGACAGTAAAGCCAGAACAATGTGTCAGACTGAAGTAATATCAAAGAAAGTAAGTGCAGTACCGGGGACGCTATGAGGTTGGCCCACAACACTTCTTGACCTGTGAATGTCTGGTAAGTACTTCTCTGTCCTACAGGCTCCAGTGACCCGGGAAGCCCAAAAGAAGAAGCAGCAGTGCGGTAATAAACAGTCTCTGCAATAAGATTTTTGCAATCTTGTAATTCAAGCTGAAAGACATACAAAGATTGCTTGATGGTTTTAACCCTACTGAAAGGCAGAGTCTGACACTGTGTGAAACCACCAGTGATTTCTTAAAAGGTGAACTAATGTTAAATGTTTAATATGAATTTGTGAAAAGAACTGCCTGTTTTAGAACAGTGAAACCTTTACATTTTGCCTTTATTTAACTTTAAACCTGTACACTAATTTGGAGAATAAAAATGGGGAAAGTTACTTAATGTATTCACTATAGTTTGCGTTGTTTATGACTTCAGAATTATGTTGAAAAGAAGTATGTAAAAATCAGGCTTATGATTAAGAAAAAAACTGCTGAAGACCAGATCTCACCTCATGCAAACTAAAATGATGTAGGAGTCTAGACATTTTAAATGGTTTAAGTATGTTTAAATGCAGATTGGGGATGTTTAATTAAATATCCCAGTCCGAATGTGTCTGAATAAGTTATGGTTGCAAAATGAGAATTTTTCTATCTCAAAACACAAGTTTATTCAACAGTGTGTTGAAAAGTAATTTGGGTATATAATTTTTTAAATGTACTGCCTATTTTCAAGTAAAAACAAATGAATTCCTGCTGTAGAGAAAAATGAATTATTTAAGAAAGGCAAGAACACCCTAAAATTACTATGTAATAGAAAGTATCCTTTAGTATTTTCCACTGTGTTTTCTTCCATTCTAAAAGTTTTTCAAAAAAAGTCTATTATTGAATATGTAATATCTATTATAATACACAAAGGCTAAGTTTTATAGGTTACACAACAGATAACTGGATCAAAATATAACAAAGCCTCTGCTGTAAAGTACTATATATCAGAGAGAAAATGAATGTTTTGAAGAGCTGAGTGAAAAGAGAAGTATTGCCTAAAAAATCGCCACAACACTGACCTGAGGTCTGTACGATTTAGTATTTTTTAAGCAAGCTGTAAATTTTCAAATGATTGTTATTGAAAACCTGACAGCTACAAAACTGCTGGCAAAAGAAACACTGTTGAATTTATGTGAATAAACCTGTGTATAGTGCCTAGCATAGTTAATCAGATTTAAAGAAAAACACCCTTATATTTTATATAATTTTTCTAATCCTTAGAATTATGTCACCTCTTGATAAATGTCATATCCGTTATTTAGAATAATTGCAGTACTTACGCTGATAACAACACAACAGCAATTAGGGTCCATTCCGGCATTTTGTGAATAATATTTGTATTTGTTAACCTGAAAAATAATAAGGGCAACATCAAAAATTGTATGTTTTAGAACACAAATAAGATCAGAATAGTTGAAACTTATTATTAAGCAAGAATAAGGGGCTGGGTTTTAAGGCCTGATTTTGAGAAATGGTGAGTACCTGCAAGACCCATTGAATTGTGTGCTAGTATATTTATATCCAAGTATCCTTAAAAGAAGATTTTCAAACTCCTTCCTATTTATAGATACCCACAATGAGATCAGATTTTGGTCCCTGTTACAGCAGTGTTAAAGTAGAGTAAGTCTATGGAATTCAGTGGAATTTCTCCAGATTTACACTGGAGTAGCTAATATCAGAATCTGGTTCTGATATTATATTTTTAACAATATTGCACAATATCTAGGTATTTTAAATTTTTGGCCTTCATCACCCTCTTATATCAGCAACTCACAAATAGTAAGAACACCCCTCTTTCTTTTCTACATCTGTTGTAATAGCTTGAAAGGTAGCAGAATTCCTCCTCCCACTCACTCATGGCTCCTATGCATGAGTGGTCTGTGAGGGGGGAGGGGGGGGGAAATAAAAAAAGCTCAGTCAAAGAAACAGAATTTGTATTTAGTTCAGAATTCAGTGAGGTCCAAGGTCATTCTTATTTCCAGAGAGAGAGAGTTCAGAAGCCTAGGTCCCATACCAGCAAAAGTTCTGTCTCCAATACTCCATATCTCCCCCTACTGATCAAGTTTCATGTTTCACATCTAGAGTAGCTGTCAACAGAGGTCATGGTTGCAAAGGGATATACAGGTTTCCACATAGCTAAGGCCAATCACTTGGTGATCTCTGAATATCAAGACAGAGTCTTTGTACTATACTCTATTCAATGAAGAGAAAGTGCAGAGAGCAGAGCACAGGAATGATCATAGAATCTCATGGTTGGAAGGGACCTCAGGAGGTCATCTAGTCCAACCCCCTGCTCAAAGAAGGACCAATTCCCAACTAAATCATCCCAGCCAGGGCTTTGTCAAGCCTGACCTTAAAAACCTCTAAGGAAGGAGATTCCACCACCTCCCTGGGTAACCCATTCCAGTGCTTCACCACCCTCCTAGTGAAAAAGTTTTTCCTAATATCCAACCTAAACCTCCCACACTGCAACTTGAGACCATTACTCCTTGTTCTGTCATCTGGTACCACTGAGAACAGTCTAGATCCATCCTCTTTGGAACCCCCTTTCAGGTAGTTGAAAGCAGCTATCAAATCCCCCCTCATTCTTCTCTTCTACAGACTAAACAAACCCAGTTCCCTCAGCCTCTCCTCATAAGTCATGTGCTCCAGCCCCCTAATCATTTTTGTTGCCCTCTGCTGGACTCTTTCCAATTTTTCCACATCCTTCTTGTAGTGTGGGGCCCAAAACTGGACACAGTACTCCAGATGAGGCCTCACCAATGTTGAATAGAGGGGAATGATCACATCCCTCAATCTGCTAGCAATGCCCCTACTTATACAGCCCAAAATGCCATTAGCCTTCTTGGCAACAAGGGCACACTGTTGACTCATATCCAGCTTCTTGTCCACTGTAACCCCTAGGTCCTTCTCTGTAGAACTGCTGCCTAGCCATTCGGTCCCTAGTCTGTAACAGTGAATGGGATTCTTCCGTCGTAAGTGCAGGACTCTGCATTTGTCTGTGTTGAACCTCATCAGGTTTCTTTTGGCCCATTCCTCTAATTTGTCTAGGTTCCTCTGTATCCTATCCTTACCCTCCAGCATATCTACCACTCCTCCCAGTTTAGTGTCACTTGCAAACTTACTGAGAGCGCAGTCCACGCCATCCTCCAGATCATTAATGAAGATATTGAACAAAACCGGCCCCAGGACTGACCCTTGGGGCACTCCGCTTAAAACCGGCTGCCAACTAGACATTGATCACTACCCGTTGAGTCCGACGATCTAGCCAGCTTTCTATCCACTTTATAGTCCATTTATCCAGCCCATACTTCTTTAACTTGCCGGCAAGAATACTGTGGGAGACCATATCAAAAGCTTTGCTAAAGTCAAATAACACATCCACTGCTTTCCCCTCATCCACAGAGCCAGTTATCTCCTCATAGAAGGCAATTAGGTTAGTCAGGCATGACTTGCCCTTGGTGAATCCTGATCACTTTCCTCTCCTCTAAGTGCTTCAGAATTGATTCCTTGAGGACCTGCATGATTTTTCCAGGGACTGAGGTGAGGCTGACTGGCCTGTAGTTCCCCAGATCCTCCTCCTTCCCTTTTTAAAAGATGGGCACTACATTAGCCTTTTTCCAGTCATCCGGGACTTCCCCCGATCGCCATGAGTTTTCAAAGATAATGACCAATGGCTCTGCAATCACATCAGTCAACTCCTTTAGCACCCTCGGATGCAGTGCATCTGGCCCCAGGGATTTGTGCTTGTCCAGCTTTTCTAAATAGTCCCAAACCACTTCTTTCTCCACAGAGGGCTGGTCACCTCCTCCCCATACTGTGCTGCCCAGTGCAACAGTCTGGGAGCTGATCTTGTTCGTGAAGACAGAGGCAAAAAAAGCATTGAGTGCATTAGCTTTTTCCACATCCTCTGTCACTAGGTTGCCTACCTCATTCAGTAAGGGGCCCACACTTTCCTTTACTTTCTTCTTGTTGCTAACATACCTGAAGAAACCCTTCTTGTTACTCTTAACATCTCTTGCTAGCTGCTACTCCAAGCGTGATTTGGCCTTCCTGATTTCACTCCTGCATGCCTGAGCAATATTTTTATACTCCTCCCGGGTCATTTGTCAAATCTTCCACTTCTTGTAAGCTTCTTTTTTGTGTTTAAGATCAGCAAGGATTTCATTGTTAAGCCAAGCTGGTCGCCTACTATTCTTTCTACACATTGGGATGGTTTGTTCCTGCAACCTCAATAAGGATTCTTTGTGTGGCACCAAGACCCATGTTGCTGCACAAATGGGCTACTGGATTTTGCACCAAGTGAAGCTTCATCCCTAGATATAACAGAGCTGCAACAAGTCCAGCCTGGAGGTCACAATGCATGATTTACCATGGCCAGATTTGGTCTGATTGGATCAGGGGGTAGTCTTATGGAAAGCCACAGATGAGAGTGGGTGTGGCTATTTGGGCATCCAAAGCTGTGAACACTCAGAGATATTGTGGAGTTGGTAAATTATTCAAAGTGCTTCTTTTTCCTATCAGCACCGTTCTCTCTTACCTGGGTTCAGTTGAAACAGCTGTTTTTCACTTATGTTCTCATTTCACAAGGCACTGGGAAAGCTGGGAGACCTAGCGAAGGGCATCATTTCCATAATGGTGACCTTTCAGCCTGTCTCACCAGCTTACCCAGTGGCTTCATCCAGAAGTTGTCTAAGATGGGGGACATGGCCCTGTGGGGGCATTCTAGGGGCAGAGGGAGAGTTTTCCATCACAACCTTCAGGGTTTTATCTAAGAGGAAAGACTCAAGCCATTTGAGGACATTTCAACAGAAGAAACTGTTCCTGGAAGGTTTTCAAATAAGCTGTAGGGGCCTGAAATGTACATTTGTTGGGAGTCACCTATGGAAAGGCATATTGGCTGAATGCCCAATTGTGGCTTGTGCTGACAGCACTAGTCATATCATTAGTCCCCTTCAAGGGGCCTCCACTTGCTGGCTACAGACTGAAGCCCTTAACATGGGTGGAAGGAGAAAGAGAGCATATTTTGCCCCCTATCTGCTAACCCAACCCAGAAAACTATTCCTGTGCCCTGTAAACTAACTACCCTTGAGCCAAAATGATGACTTTCTCTGCCTGGTGCCCACACTAGGGTACATATTTTATAAAGTATGGCTCCACTCTGAATAGAGAATCTGAAAAAATGGCACACTTAGGGCTTGCCTATATTGCACGCTAAATTGGTGCCGATGCGATTGATACAGTGGCATCGATTTAGTGGGTCTGGTGAAGACGCGATGAGTTGATGGGAGAGCGCTCTCCTGTCGACTTCAGTACTCCACCTCACCGAGAGGTGGAAGGTAAGTCGGTGGGAAAGCATCTCCTGACGACATAGTGTGGTGTAGACACCGCATTACGTCGATGTAAGCTATGTCGCTCAGGGGGGTGATTGTTTCACACCCGAGTGACGTAACTTACATCTACTTAAGCAGCAGTGTAGACCAGGCCTTAGGTCTATGTTTCTTTCATCTCATTGATTTTCATACCAAATGTGCTCACTTTACAAGAAAAAGTTATTTTTTTCTAAACTGCAAGCCCTACAATCTCAGCTAGGGATCTGCATTACAAGTTCTTTTTTGGGCAAGTCAATGTACACCACCAGTTACACTGGGCAATGCTGACAACTGGTTTTTGAAGTGGTAGCTCAATAAGTTACCCCTACAGACAATTTCATAAAAGTTGTTAGACACCAGTGCCCACAGTTGGACCCTTTTAGGGAACTCATAGAATTTTAATAACTATGGGTAGTATGGCCCCAGCTGCTGAGGTGGGAAAAAATATTGCATGATAGACAGATAATGCATGAGACCATCCCACCAGATTGTCAACTCTGAGGCACAGAGTAGAATGTTTCCTTCCACATGCAGCACATTTATCCGGAAAATGACAAACTCTGCCATGTCTTAGAGTGCCTCAGTGGTCAGCATATATTTCCAGGGAACCAGGAACAAATAGATTTTGGCCTTGCAATATGACACTTTTGTACTACATGAGAGAGAACAGCACAAAGTGGAGGAGTAGAGAGGTGGATCTGGCAGAACAATTTAAGTCAGTTGTTGAATACATCATGAGAATTTTTAGGTCAGGTCCCAAGATACCTTGCACATCAGACCCCAAGGCCCTAGTCACACTACTGGCACAGTTAACACTACACAGGTTTATGTTTACAAAATGTAGATAAAATTCCATAACCATGGCAGTTAACAGTGTTTTGCCCCTGCCAGAGGCCAACCTATCACATGGTTGTCTTTTTGTAATCATGCCAATGTTAGCTATTCTGCCAGTTCTCCTTCCCCCACCAGTTTTGTAT